TAGTTCTTTAATTAAAAGAAAAAAAAATTGTATGAATCCTTAATTGAGATAATAGTAAAAAAAAGACCAGATTAATATTGAATATTTCTTGCATTCTCTTAATATTATTTCTTTTTAATGTGGCTCTATATAACTTTTTGGAAAAGTACTCTTACCAATTATCAAACGCAATTTCAAATCCAACCTTAATCATTTAATGAGAATCTTTTGATTAAAAAACCATTATAAAATTCAAATTTGATAAAAATAGTATAAAATGTAAATTCTAATATGAAAAACTAAAAAATAACCCATGCAACGGATGGGTAAATAAAAAAAATAGTTTCTTTATATGCACTAGATTAGTAGAAAGTGTGCCAACCCTTAATATCGCCCAAAAAATAATTAATTTTGAAGTATATAAAAACTAAAGATCACGGTGCACACCCGGATTCAACACTCGGATATGCATCCTCTACATAAAATAAAATAAAAAAAGAAATAGACCGGGTGTTCTTCATTTTTTTTATGCGGAGTGTGCACACCCGGGTGTTGAATCCAAGTGTGTACACATCATTTTCCAAAAACTAATTCAAAAATACCTTAATTGTAAATGAAAAAAGAAAAAAAAAAAAAACCGTGGACATTCAAAGTTTTATATCTAATGTCTAAAATTGTAAAAAAAGAAGTTGTTTTCTAGTTCATACTAATTAGACTACAAAACAAGTATCATCAAATGAGGAGCTCTTTGATTAGAGGGACAAAGCCCCTCACCTAATACTAGCTGATATTTTGTAGCTATACTACTACAAAACCACGTTTCGTCTTGTAAAATAAGCAAACAAAAATTTCATAAATAAACAAATATTTGTTAATTGACTCCATTCTCAATCACATAAATTAATTATCTATAATACTTTTTGGTACATTTAATAGATACCCATATCACTGTATAAATTTTAAACCTTTATTTATAGTATTGTATATAAAAAATGATTAATACACTATTTAGTTTAACACAACTTGCAATATTCATCTATTCAACCATTCAATTCTATAGTTTTTAGTTTGGATAAGAATTGGTACACCATCCAATTCAACACAATACTAATACCCACACAATGCTAATACCCATTAGTTCAACTATTAAAATTTACAAGTGAAATTTTTTCTGCTTTAAATTCAAATTTAAAAATAATAATTTCTTAATAAAGTGTATTGTGAAATGTGTTGAATTAAAAATTATACCAATCATTGTCCTTTTAGTTTTTTTTGCCTTTAATTTAGATTTGAAAATAGTAATTTCTTAATAAATGTATTATAGGATGTGTTGAGCTGAATAGGATATTAATTATTGTCCATTGCATATATGGTATTTTTCAGTTGAAACACAATGCGCCCTCATAATCACATAAACAATATATAATTTGCAGGTATCAACTGCGGAATTGTCATGACCTCATTTCTATATCTGGTAGGGCACTGTGATAAATGAAAGATCATCTCTAATTGAGCAATTTTTGGAGGAGGAAATTAAGGGGAATTGGGAATACATAGATTGGATTTGAGGCTGGTCCCCAGATGTAAAAAATTCCTTGTAATAAGACCAGGGTTTTGAGATGCTGTTATCATTTGTGATAGGGGATGACCTTATATTTATGGAGCCCACTCCTCATCAAATGATTAAAAGATGTGTAATATATCTTTGTAGGGCGATATTGTACTTTGATATCTAGCTTTCTTAATTGAGAAGGGTATCAACACTCTCTTTCCATCATTTTTATAAAATAAAAAATAAAATATTTTATGATTACAATGTTATATTATCAAGTTTATAACAATAATATATTATTATATAATCAACTGTTTTTATCCTAAACTTATTTGTGAATTGGTAGACATATACACATTTAATATTACATTGTTCTTAATTTTAACTTAGGCGTTATAACTCGTAAGTATATCATTTTCGTTTCTCATTTTCAGGACATATATTTCTTCACTATTGATTCACCTTTTTTTTTTTAATGCTTTTCGCCATCATTGATGCACCCTGGTTTTCATAACTTTTTAAGGGGAGCAAAAAGGAATCATGTACCTAGCTAACATCGACAACGGTTCAATCTTCTTTTTCAAAAAAAAAGAAAAAGGAAGAAGAACAGAAAAATGATATTTTATTCATCTGTTATTAAACTCTAGAGACACTCTTCAAAGGCTTCAATACAAAAGGAGAACCTAATTATGCAACAGTCTCCATTTCCAAGGAAGTCCGACGATGATACCTTAGGGAGGAAGTCCATATTCACACATTTCATGGGCCCAATCGGTGTTTCGGCAACAGGGCCCAAGCCGATTATGAAACTTCAATGTTTTATTTTGGGCTAGGGCAGTCTATCCCAAAACTTTCTTCGAAATGGAGACGTAAGTTTACAAGAAGTAGCCAGCTTTTTTTTTTTTTTTTTTTTTCCTCAAGTCAGTCAAGTTTAAATGAAGTGGAGGGCCCTATCTTGACATGAAGTTTTCCCAAAAAAAGAAGAAAGAAAGAAAGAAAAGCAAAAGAGGGAGCCATTGTGTTAATGGGTTCTGGCCAAACCTCTCCACGTAATGATGTCTAACTTTAAAGTGCTTCACTTTCTCTCATGATTAGATGGAATGAACATTAAGATGGTACGGATTTGAGTACTCTTATATTCTATATAACTTAATTTACTATTACTAAAAAAAAAAAAAAAACTCTTTCAATTCTTATGATAAGTATATACTCTGTAATTGTTAACTTAAAAAATCTTATATTAAAAAAATAAATAAATAAATGTGATTTTAGATTAGAATCTCATATAACGTTGGGGCTCATGTTTTCTAACACAGTACCAAAGGCCTTTTTGTATTCTTGTAGGACCTAACTTCCTATAATTGAGACCAAGCAGGACTTTCCTTAGCCTAAATAATTAAATTAACTTTGTGAAGTTTAATCTTAAAGTAGTTAATTGAACACCAGCATGTGTATGTAATTAATGAGCAATTTCATATATATGCGGTAAAAGTAACAGATATTATCTCTAAGGACAACATGAGGCCAAAGTGGGCAACAGCTCAATTTGACTGGGTCTAATGGGCTAGTTAATGGTGTAGGGCCAACCACCAACCGGGGCTTCTCCCCTAACCACCCAATGGAGCCTTATCCCTGGCTACACTTTCCCCTTTCTCCACAAGGTGAAGGTATGGTTGCCTTCATGAGAGTGACAATTGCATAGTGGTGCTAAATGGGTATCATTTTCACTCGACAAAGTTAAAAAGCTAGCTAGTGGGTTTGTCATTTTCCTTGTCTTTGCCAAAGTCTATACCTCCACTCAACTCCCTTGTTTCCTTCTCCCCCAGCAAAATCCTCCTTGGGGTTTCCCTTATTCATAAAGCAAAAGCAATGGTTCAGTATAGCCTTTCTTCTTTCGGCATGAAAATCTTCGGTCTATAGACTCATAATTGTAGAGAAAGAATAAATTAAAGTTTTCCCTGGCTTTAATTAGTTTGGAATTTGAAGGAACCCATCTTTAAAAAAAAATCCAGTAACTCTTAATTATCGCAAACTTACAATGTCATTTTCGATTCCAACCGAACTCATTTCATGTATATGGATAGAAATTGTTGTGGTGAGTACGCTGCTTTTTCAAATAAAATTATAAAGTTTCTTCATCTAAAATTAATAGATGTGTTCGAATTCTTCCACCTTGTGTATTAATAATGCATGCATGAGGTATAGTTAATGATAATTAATTGAGATTGCGTTTCAAATTTATTTGAAAGGGACCTAACAGAGAATTTAACATATGCGTCCTTAACTCAATTAACAGTAACTTATTTTGTTGTTTTCCTTTGGATCAAGTGAAGCTTAACTTGAGGTCTAGTAACTTTGACCTCATTTTGTAATGCACACCATCTGCTCCACGAAACGTCATAGTGGGCTGTGTTGTCTGGATTTGGTTTTCTTGGTCCTGTTGGCTGAATGTGAGGTCTGTATTTATAAGGATGTAATGGATTGAGGAATTCCTTGCACATCTCAAATAAAATTAACTTCTTTGCTGATAAATGATAATAATAAAAAAAGAATAAGTTAAGCTTAGCTTGATGGAAGAAATTTAATGTGGCGCAATGAGATTAATATAAATTCTATACCCTAGATATTTCAAAAGTACAATGAATTAATAGATGGAAGCATCAATTAATTTTCCAATTGTCCCTCGAAGCTTTTATAGGGCAAATTGATGATATGGTGCCCACCAAGACTTGGGGGTTCATAATTAGGGGAAAATGTTTATCAAGTGCAAAAAATTAAATAAAAAAATATTTTAAAATTACATCATTTTAATAAATTTTCAATAAAAAGACTAAAGTATCTTAGTTTGTAAAGTAAGAATGATGAGGTTATTTTAGCATTTTCTCATAATGCTTTATTGAAACGTAATTTTAAGTGTATTTTTATCCTTTTTTTTATAAGTCTAGGTGATAGATACTAGGGTAATGATTTGTACATCATCTAGTTTAACACATTTACTAACATTCATCGATTCAATTATTAAATTTTGCAAGTGAAATTTTTTTTGTTTTAAATTTAAATTTAAAAATAATAATTTCTTGATAAAGGTATTATAAAATGTGTTAAGTTAAGGAACGTAATAATCATTGTCCTAAATACTAATATATTATAGTGAAGGTTAAATACCTTTTTTGGTTTCTCTATAATTGAACTCTTTTTCTGTCTCTGTATTGAAAAATCTTTTTTTTAATCCATAAAATTTGAAATCTAATCTTTTTTTAATCCTTTCGTTAGTTAAGTCACAAACAGGCACTATAATTCATTAACTATTTTGTTTTTTTTTTTCCTTTTTAATGATAATGTGTAATTAAACGTTGCAAAATTATTGAGTTGGCAATATAATTTATTTTATATGTAATCAATAGGTTACAAAATAATTAAAAGAAAAAATCATCGTTTTCCCTTTATCTTTTCATTTCCCATTTCTGTCCTCATCTTCTTCCTAAGCCCAAATCCCTAATCGTTTCTACCTCTGCCTGAATCGAATCCCCCTCTCATCCATTGATTTCTTCTTTGCTAACCCTTCCTCCATCAAATCCCTCAAATCTTCACACCAATCTTTGTCTCCGTTAAAGCTCTTGCCTTTCTTCAGCAACCCCTTCTTCTCCTCATCCTAAATCTGTCGAAGTCCTTTCGAATGACCTTGGTCGATACTTTTATCTCGACGACCAAGCAATGGCCATAGAAGTGATCTCGCTTGCCATTGTCGAAGGATTTGACAATGACGACCTAGCAACTGGCATAACGACCTTGAAGGACGATGGCAGCCTTGAAAGATATGGCGACCTTAAAGGACAATAGTTGGGTTTGGCTTCAAGAACTTCACCATTGCTCACTCAATTTCCAACTCCCAAATCCTAATGATTGCCTTTTCATTGCCTTTTTTTTTTTCCTATGTAAATCAAGAAATGGTGATAAGAAGAAACTCGAATTCTTCTTTGAATTTATTACAAATCTGCTAGTTTGATTTTTTTGGTTCTTGAGTTTTTCTTGTGCCTTTCCTTTTCTATTTCTCTGAATTTCTTCATTTGTTACCTTACTTTGATATGGGTTTCTTTGGTTGTGTCTTTTTCTTTTGTTCTTTTTTGCTTCACCATTCTTGGCTCGGGTATTGGATCTAGGATTTTCTGTGTGTTGATTTTGGATTTCATGGTTAGGCAGTTGTTGAAATTGGTAGAGGAGAGGCAATATTGCTCAAGATTATGGGAACAAATTTCATTTGAAATTGAAATGTGTCGAGGAATGGGGAGAAAAGAATTGTTGTGAAAAATTAATTTTGGAGAGGATGGAAAGAAAAAAAATTTGTGTTGAAAATTGTTAAATTTTTATCTAATTTATGTTTGAAAAGTAAAAAAAAA